CGCATATAGTATATTTCCTGACTTCTAAAGTTGGTATATTAGATGTACAGTCTCCATAGTGGGGGTTGATGGCCGACCTACATGATGCCTTCAGACAGGCCCATTCCCTGATGACTCCAGACACTGTTCTTCACTCATAATTTCCTTGTAAACCCAACATACTTCGTATCTCTCATGGGGAGAGATTGCATCCAAAATCTCCATATTTCTCTCACCTCTCTCCCCACAGTGCTTGTCCTATCAACCTAACCTCAATGCACAGCCGGCTTCTCCCTCCCTCTTCCCTTGTTGACCATGTACTCTGAGATACTTTCAGTCCCATTTGTGCCACACATGCTATTCATATACTAATGTGCCTCAGAGAACCCACACCCTTCCCTATATTCCCCAATACCCAGTAACCCCCAAACATCAGAGGGGATTCAAGCCCATCACTCACCACTTCTTCAGTCTTATTGTACTAACTGAGACACCTGGCACTAGCTTCTACATGGGCTTGTCAACCCTTCCTGCCTTCCTTCAAGAACTCTCCTTACCTAGACCACCAACCTCACCAAGTGTTGGCTACACATGTCCATTCCAAGACCTGATCTCATGGCCATCTACCTATACCCAACAACACACACACACATACCTTTCCTCCTCTCAAAGGCCTTTTGCCATTAATATTTCCCTTTTACAACTCCCCTCTTCCCACAGCCTCATATGTTACCTGGAAAACTTCACTGGCCTCCTTTGCGCCAAACTCACTTCATTCAACACACCTCCAGACAAGCAACACAAAGTAGACACACAGCTGTTTCTGTGTGACACCTTGATATATAAATTCCATCTTCCCTTGGCTTGCTCTCCTTCTAGGGCCCCTTGCAGGGGCTTGTTATTATGTTCGTGATAGTCCCCTGCTTCATCCACAATACTGTCATCAGATTAACAACTCAAAATTTTAACCAAAAGCTTCTCTCAGATTACTCCTACCAGGCCTTCCTTCAATGGGGCCCTTCAGTGATGACAACTCCTTACCCTGATGTCCAGACTCACAGCATCATGATGCCCCAGGCAGCAGGAAGTAGCCAGATGATTTCTTCTCCTTTTTTCCTACCAAATAGAGTCTGGAATGATAGGTCAGTATTCCTAGGCACCCTGCCCCCAAACTCTCTCCCCCTTGGCCCCACACAGAACCAAACCCCAAACCACAGAACAAGTACACCTGACTTTGACCTGGGCAAGCAACCACAGAAACTCTCCTTTGCTAACATTGAAAGTGCTCTGAAGACCAGGGAGCCCCGCCAAGATTAGCTCTCCCGCAGCTGTTCCAGCCCACAACACCCCGCCCCCCTGCAAACCTCTGTCTCCAGTAAATCTTCTTGCATTAGAATGCCTGGTCTGGTCAATTGCATGGGTCCATATCTAACAGAATGAATTCTAAGAATAGAGGTAAAGAGTAGAAATGATTTATTGAAAGAAGCTTCTGCCTGAAAGGGAAAGAAGATGATCCCAAAAATGGGTTTCCCACCAGCTTTACTTCATTTATTTATTTATTTTTGTCCTTTAAATTTTCTCTTTTTTAAAAAAAATTTTGTCTTTTTCAGACAGGGTCTTGCTATGCAGTTCAGGCTGGCCTTGAGCTCACCTTGTGGTCCAGGCTCGTCTTGAACTCAGAATGATCTTCCTGCCTTAGCCTCCCCAAGTGCTGGAATTACAGGTATGTGCCAGCCTCACTTTTCAAGGGTGTTTATTGAGCAAAGCCATGAGGTGAAGAAGCAGCTTCTTCCTGTCCCACTGAGTCCAACTAACCAAAAGCTGGTTGTCAGTCCTTGGGATTAACTTCTGAGCATCACCAAGTCTCACCTCCTTCCCAACAGCCCCTAAAAGCTATAATGGCCCAAAAGCTGGTTCCAAGCTGGGCACCCCACATTCAAGGCTAGCCTGGTCACTAGCCTTCTGGATAGAGCCCTACAGTTCTGAGTGAAAGAGAGGAAGCAATTAGCTGACGGGGTTTCTGAGGTAGGCCCTGGGAGAAGGGAGGACCCTGCCTGGAGTTTTGGCCCTTCTGCAAATGCCCATAGCACCCCACAGGCCCAGCCTTTTCTGGATTTACACCCTTGGGCAGTGTGCGTAGTTCTTCCCTCAGAGGGCAGGAGGACAGACTGCCCCAGCCCCATCCCATCCTATGGCTAAAGGAGTCCAAGACACCCCAGACCCAGCCATGGTTGCACACAGCATCACCCTGAAGGTAGCAGCAAAGTGACTTGTGAAGGATGCAGTGGAGAGGAGCTTACTTCCACTGTTATCCCTATAAAAAGACATCTTTTCCCTCAGAACACCAAGCTCTGTCCACCCAGGCCACAAGTTTTCTGTTCCTGAGGCAACACCTGATGAAAGGCTGTTTTGGGGGTGCCCTGAACTCCAGTGTGGAAGAACAGATCTTTCCAGGGTCCATGTCCCTAGGCTTCTTGCAATGACCAACAACACTGTAGTAAGCAGTTCTATCTCTTGTCAGAACCAAACTCACATCTCAGGCCTGACACAAGAGTGCAGCTGACAGGGAAAGTAGTCCACTTCATGGGCTTTTCCATGTCTTCCAAATCCTTGTGCTCTGTCTGCTGCCTGTCTGTCACCTGGTTCCAGGTGCTTCCAGAGTAACAGCAGAACCCCTGGGGACAGTGCTCTGGACACCCACTCTCCAGCCTAGCCAGCCCTAGTGGCCTCATTTCCATCTGCCTGACCTCAGCCCCTGTGACAAATGTGTTAAGAGGACTGCGTAGTTGTTTCTGGTGGGTCAACAGGGAGGCTTGGCCTGGGCCCTGGGGGGTCATCTTCCCCAAAGCCCAGCTGGAGAGTCAGCCCAGGGCAGCCTATCAGAATCAGCTCCTGGGGGACCCAGAACCCATGCATACTTGCTCCCACTCTGGGCCACACTCTAACCCTCAGTGCCAGCCACCACCTGACTGGTACCAGCCACAGTGGGATGTGTAGCTCTGCTTACTGGTGCCCACAAAGGAAAGACCACTAGCCTCCCACACCAGCCAGGCTCTGTCCACCAGGACACAGCTCCCTGAACTCTGCATCCAGCACTATGTTACTTGTGCTTCCCACACCCACTGTGGAGTCTGGATTCTTGCATTGCCCTGAACTAAGGCTGCTCCTAGGTGCAAGAGTACCGGTGGTCAGGATGGAAGCCTTGTTCCCCCAACAGGCTGTGGAGCCAAAGCCTCCTGTACAGATGGTATTCCCCTGGGCCTGACCAACAATGGAGACTCGACCTTGCAGTCTCCCTGGGCCCGCCTAGTAGCATAGCCAGGCCTTTTGAGTCCCCATGTGAGCAGGGCTTTGGAGTTGCTTCCCCAAGGCAGTGATGTGGTTACTTGTCAGGGGTTGCCAGCTATTCTATTTGCTCAGTTCTGACCAGTTAAAGACTTTAAAAGCATATAAATGGGGATTTTTTTCTCCCACATACTCTAGGTTTCTTATATGGCCCTGGAAACAGGACTTGTGTCTGGGGACATCATCAGCATGTCTTGAAGGAGGGAGGGTGATCCTAGCATCTGCCCACTGCTGGCCCAGGGAGGTCATGCCCTCAGGGCACATTAGGCAGATGTCAACTGATGGCTCCTCCAACCAGCCCCACCTGCCTGCCAGTGCCAGGGCCTTGCCATGGGAAAGAATCCCTTCCATCTGTCAATGGCCATCTGTGGCACAGGAAAGGAGTAGGAAGGGTCAGACATTGGCTGGGAGCTCCCATAGGCTGCGGGCCCACTTGGAATACCCACTGCTGCCCCTTGTCTCCTCTCTCTCCCTTCCTTCCTCTTCCCTATCCTTCAAGCTTGTACCTTGGAGACCTTTGAGCCAAGTGTGCTACTTGGCCCAACAGATGGTGACACCGAAGTTCAGTCATTCTGTAGCCACTCAGCACCCACAGTGCTAGGGTGTCCTAGCCTCCAGTATGTAGTCTGCCTGGAGTTACTGTCCTCTGCCTGCCTCTCCAGCCTATGGAGAAACTGGCCTCTCCCTCCTGCAGAGCAGGAAGCCACTGTCTACCTGGCTTGGGGGTAAACAGAAGCAAAGGGAAAGACGTAGCCTCATGGGGCTGGCATGACCTTTTCTGGGGACCAGTAAACAGTCATCTGAGGTGCCTCCTTCATTCCTGGCCCCATGTTCCTGAATCTCTATTCTGAGGAAAGGGAGGGTCCAGGTTCTAAGATTACTGTAGGAAGTGTAATAAACAGGAGAGGCAGAGACCAGCCAAGAATGCCAGGCTTGTGCACAGGCAACATGACATGGACTCTATTGTGCCTGGGTGCAAGTAGACAGAGGGCCTAAAGGCTGTCTGCAAGGACCAAAAAGAGGTGGGACCCTTTTGTAGGAATTAAAAGAAGACAGGGACATTAGGTGGGGAGACTTTAATAAGCATCTGTGGTCAAAGTTCTTTGGCAGTCTTGCATCTCAGTGGGCAAAGTCCTTGAAGTATCTGGTGTAAATCCTTGGGTGTTCCCAGATGTCCCAGGATCTGCAAATTTTTTAAAATTTTATCTCCTTTATGATATTCTGTGCTTGCTGATAAGTCTTGTTGCTGAGCTGAATTCCGTGCTGACAGTACAGTGCCTCCACTGGCAAGTGGGTTGGGGCTGGGAAAGTCAGGTCTGATGCAAGCCTTATATAAAGTGACTCCCATAAGCCCCAGTACAGCCCTGTCCAAGGCTACCCTCTTCTCTTTGGACTGGGATGAGTCAGGACTGGGCAGGTGATCCACATGGACAGTGACCAAGCCTGTAGCCACCTGAACAAACATCCTGAAATCAGGCCCCTTGCCCAGCCCTGCAGGAAGCACTGGTGCCCAACAGCTCTGCTTTCGACAGCTGGCTATCACAAGCAGACAGGCACCTCTGAGGTCAGGGCCAAGCAGCCTCCCCAGGACCAAAATAGCAGTCAGATGACTACAAGGGTCAGCTCACCATTTTCTCTCCAAAGCCAGGCTGCCCTCAGCACTGGCAACAGCTAAAAATAGGCAAGAAAGGCACAAGCCTCAGGAACAGCTAGAGGGAAGAGCACACTGCCGCAGCCCCGGGCACGATGAGGTCCCTTCGCTTTATTGCTGCAGAAGCCCTGGTGTCCCACCCCTCACTGGCCCGGGACAGCTTGGACAGTGTGGCCTACAATCTCTACCCACTCCTGTTCAAGGCCAGCTACCTACTGGAGCAGGCAGAAGTGACCCGTGCTGTGTTGGGGTGTTGGCCCCTGGAGGAGTTCCGGCTGGCCATGCTGCTGGGGCCCAGCACTGACCACCCAGAGGACCTGCGCGACCGGGCCTGCAGGACCTGCCTGGAGGCCTGTGTGCAAGGCCTTGGTGACCACGTGCTGAAGAGCGGGAGCCGCCGGCTGCGGCTGGCAGACCTCACAGGCATCCGTGATGTGCAGGAGCAGCGGTGTCCCTGTAGGAGGATGCTGGGGAGGTGGGGCCGCACACAGCTGCTGGCCAGGACCTGCTGTGAGCTGCAGTCACAGCCCTGTGCGGCCGGGTGCTCTGTCAAGGTCCTGGCTGACCTCTTTGTAACTAGTGGCAACTTTGAGGCTGTGGTGCAGGCTCTGCAGCCAGCGGGCCCGGCCCCACTGCAGCTGTGCTGCCTCTCTTTTCGTGCAGACAGCCTGAGCCCTGGGCAGCTCCTGCTTGTGCTGGGCCTGGCCGAGCCCGCTACACTGCGCAAGCTAGAGGTAGTACACAATGTGCGGCTGCATGCTGGCCATGTGCTGCAGCTGCTGACCCAGGTGGGCTTCCCCCAGCTGGCCTCGCTTACCCTGCCCACCAAGGCCTTCGATGTGCCACCTACCTATGCTCCAGCTCCCGAGGGCCAAGACCCCCTCCTTGCCTCCATCGCCTGGGAACTGAGCCGCATGACCCAGCTCACTGAACTCAGTGTGGCTTTCTCTTCATTGACAGGGAAGATCCGGACTCTGCTTGGGTGAGTGGAACACTGCACAGGGTAGGCAGGACCACGGGGGTGTGGGGAACCAGCAACAGAGTACAGGAGTGGCTTCCGTACAAGGCCGCTAGTTCTCTGGGGTTGCTTTAGCTACAGCAGCAGTTATGACCACCAGGAAGGAAGAAACACTGAGAGCACTTGGAGGACTGTTTCCAGTTAGCAAAAGAGAACACTCATTAGCAAGTTACCAAGGCAGAGGGACCATGGTGCATCCTGTGGTTCATATTGTTGTGTAACAAATCACCCAGCACCAGGTGCTAAAATAGCAAACCCTGCTCAGATAGAAGCACAGCTCTGTGGGGAGACCTCAGTTGCAGTTTGTGGTCAGCCGTCAGCAGTGGCTGCTGCGTCGTCTGAAAGCCTGGCAGGTGGATGCCAACCCCTTGTGAGCTTGGGCTCATTGGCGTATAATATCCTTGCATGGTGGGGGCTGTGGGTCTCCATCTCCACAGCTCTGCTGTGGGACAGACATATTCTAGCGGCCCCCACGGAGAGGCTACCTCCTTATAGGTGGATAGGTTGGGTGGGGGGTCTCGGTATGGGTAGGCAGTGGGAGGCAGTCTCAGCCAAGGGTGAGAGGGGTCAGAGAGTAGGATCCAGGGACATCCTGTGTCACTGAGCAGGGACAGGCCCAGGGTCCCTGGGGTAGTGGCCCAAGAAGGTGCTTCCTTGCCAGTCTTGGGTACTATTCCAGAGTCCGTCCTGAGTTGCCCATTTGCTGACGCTGCCTGCCAAACTAAGTAAGAATTAGTGATTCAAGGATAAGGTGCCATGTTAGGGTCTCTAGGCTCCTCTTCCCAGCTCTAAAACTATGGGTTCCACCATCATCAGAGTGAGGTGGAATTTTATTGCTTGCTAATTTCTTCACTGCCCCTGCAACAAGGCTTCTGAGCAGACATTCCTGACATAACCACACATTGTACTTCCACAGGTAACCTGAAGGGTTTGTTGGTAAATCCAAGTGGACCCTTGACCATGCAGTGAGCGCGGCAGCCCTGATTCTGAGCCAGGGGCAAGCCATTGTGTTCCAATAAAACCATTTATGGACATTTGATTTCATGTGCTGCAAATTGCTTCCCCCCGCAACTATTTAAAGATCTCAGTCACTATGAAGCTGTATAGTGGTTGTACTGCAACCCCCATAAGAGACAAAATTAAAGGATTGTTCTCATCCACCATGGCTTTGGCTGGGACCTTCCTCTTACCTGTGCTGTTTTCTGCCTGCCTCCCTCCAGCCCCCTCAGGACTCCACTGCGAGTGCTGGACCTGTCCAATTGTGCCCTGAATCATGCAGACATGGCCTTCTTGGCAGACTGTACCCATGCCACCCACCTGGAGGTGCTGGACCTCAGTGGACACAGCCTGGTCCACTTGTACCCCTCCACCTTCTTCAAGCTGCTGCGCCAAGCCGCCCGGACACTGAGGGTACTGACGCTGGAGGACTGCAGCATCTCGGACAGCCACGTGGGCATGATGACCCTGGGCCTGAGCCCCTGCACCCAGCTCCAGGAGTTCAAGTTCTTGGGGAACCCCCTGTCAGCACGTGCCCTCACACGCCTCTTTTCCACACTCTGTGAGCTCCCCAAGCTACAGCGTGTTGAGTTCCCAGTGCCAAAGGACTGCTACCCTGAGGGCATGGCCTACCCCCAGGATGAGCTGGCTGCATCCAAATTTGACCAGCAGAAGTACAACATGATTGCAGAGGAGCTGCACTTGGTTCTGCTGCAGGCAGGCCGGGAGGACATTCAGGCTTCCACACCACTCTACGGAAGCTTTGACCCAGACATTCAAGAAACAAGTAATGAGCTTGGTGTTTTCCTTTTGCAAGCTTTCAAAAATGCTTTAGAAAACTTTTCTAGAGCATTGAGACAAATTGAGTAGGCTCCCAAACCATGCCAAGAATGGCTCTTGCATTTTAGCCCACGCGGCACCTGGGATCCATCCCAGAAAGGAGGGCTAGGCCAAGCTTTCATCACCAGCAACGTCATCGGCAAAAGGACTTCTTAGTGAAAATGGTACAGTTAGGGGCTGTAGGAGAGGAAGTCCTGCCTTCTAGATGCGACATGTGGTGTCCCCAGGGGTCTCCACAGAAGGGCCCTGGAGCGAAGGATCTGAGGAGAGAGGCCACAGCGGTGGCAGAAGAGAAGTGATTGGCCAGGTGCTAAGGCACATGGCCGTAGGGACAGGGTTCACCTGCTACACAACAGTGAGGACAAGGAAATAAGAGAACTTGCTGCAGAATATGTAAAAAAAAAAGAAGAAGCAGCCCATGAAAGCTAACTAAGAAAGCGAAACAGGAAAAGTAAAAATGAAAAGTGAGCCAGACAGACCTCTGTGTCCAGCAGGAGGCGCTGCACACAGCAGGTCATGGCTAGCGTGCTGCACCAGTGCTCACAAGACAAGGCCTAGGGAGAGGTGGGTGCCTTCCTCCCTTCTCTGGCATCCAAATGGGTGAGTGCTGACTCTTGTCCCATCTCTGCCCAGCTGCTCTCTAGCCCCAGCCCTGGGCATTCACATCCTCGGTAGATTGCAGTCTGGCACTTGGCAACCTTTAAGGGTGCTAATTACCACCAGAGAAAGAGGACTTGGACTAGTTTCCACCACAACCTGCTTTGTCAAAGAACTGAGTATTAGAATGATTAAAGGCTAATAAAACAGAAGTGTGGCTTACTCAGATGTGCGATTTCTTTTACTGTAATTCAGAATTTTTAAGAATGTAAGAGTCTGGGGGCTGGAGAGATAGCTCAGTGGTCTAAGCACCTGCCTGGTAAGTGCAAGGACCTGAGTTTGATCCCCAGTGATGCATGCTGTGCCGGTGGCCTTGCTGTGCCGGTGGCCTTGCTGTGCAGGCCCCGAAATTGGGTATGGTGGTGCATGCCTGTAATGCCAGTGCTGGAGAAGTTGAGACAAGAGGATCACAAGTCTGAACTGCGTAGCAAGACCCTGTATCAAAGGAAAAAAAAAAAAAGAGTGTAAGAGTATGAACAATGAACATTTTCCCAAAACAGGTAAGAACTTGGAGCCAGAACGACCGAGGGTCTGAAATGTGGCTCTCCATAGTCCTTCCCCAAACTCTCATCCTTAGGTACACACCAGGCCATTCTCAAACCACTCAGTGGGGCAGTCTGGGTGTGGGCCCAGCAGGAAGCACCTCGCTCATCCTGTCCCAGGTCCCAGCAGTGACCAGCCATGGAGTGAGGAGACCTGTCTCCAGGGCACCACATGGACCTCTAGCTCTGCTTTCCCTACAATCACTTAAATTGTTTTCTGCTAACTCCACCTTGTAAGTTTTATGAGAATCTTGTTTCACTCCGGGTTTAAAAGCACAGCAAGTTTTTTGAAAGAGTGCAGGCACCATGCAAAATTAGCAATCTAATTCTGACTCTCAAAAGCAGAGTAACGGGGCTGGTGAGATTGCTCAGTGGTCTAGAGCACCTACTTAGAACAAGCTCAGCAAAGCATGGGGACTACGGTTCGATCCTCCAGCACCACATGCCAGCCAGCCC